TTTATGTAATTTCAAGGTGCAAAATACTCCTGAGAAGTCAACATTTGCTGTGCTAGTCCTGAAATTTCCCACATTTTGTGGAACTCGAAGGTTAATTTTTGTGTTCATTTGATCCCACAATTACTCCCAGTCATGAGGCAGGTGAATCGAGTGTTCCCTCCGACACTTTGTGTTTAATAATAACCTGTCATTCATTCTCAGCCTGTCAAAGTAATATTCCCTTACGTTATTCCAAAATAATTAATGAATTTCCCATCTCGCTAAAGCAGCGCCCTTAGCTGCTTGCACCGTTGAGCAGCAGCGAGCAATCATCAGATTTTTGTGGTCGGAGGGTGTGAAACCCTCGTGAAATTCATAGAAGAATGCTGCGACGGTATGGATATGCCTGCATTGGCGAGAGAAGAGTGTACGAGTGGGTAGACGCGTTTAAAAATGGGCGAACATCAATCTGTGATGACCGACGCTCCGGTCGTCCATGATAACGCGCGCCCTCACACCATTCGGAGATTGAGATTTCAGATCTTCCCGCCCTGACCTTGCTCCCTCTGATTATCATGTGTTTGGACCCCCTGAAGGACGCGTTGAGAGGACGAAGATTTGGGAATGACGACGAGGTCAAAGAAGCGGTGTATTCCTGGCTGAAGGCACAACAAAGAACATTTTCTTCTGATGGAATAAAGAAGTTGGTGCAACGGTGATTATGTAGAAAAATGACATATCATTTGTATCTCTAATTAAATTATATATCTCAAAATATTTAATTTACTGTTACTTTTTGAAACGCCCTCGTATTTTTTGCCATTCGTTCCTTGGCCATCCTTACAATGTGTCCGTGTGGTTTTAAGAGCAGAGTATCTTGCAGAGAACTGTTGCTTAGTCGTAATGCCGCTTTCTTTAAAATTACAATTTATTTACATTTTACAGATTCTTCACAGTAAAAGCCAAGGATGTGAAACATCAGAATACATAAACGAACAAGTGGAACAATGAAATACAAGTACCTGGTTCCTCTATCACCCCACGGTCGCTCCCTTCCTACGGCTTGCCCTGCGATGTGAGAGAAGTTAAATAAGTGATCAAAGGTACTATCAAGGTTCGCCATGTCCGCTGTTAACGTAAAACGCCTCTTTCAACTACCTTTGGCTTTTCACTCAGGTTTACAGTTACAGAAGAATATAAAAGTAATTAGATGACAAAGCCAGAATGAACAATCAAATCTGGTGACAGACGTTAAACTGGAGCATGACTCAAGTCAGTCTGGACTCCTCCGTCTCTAACGTGTGCATAGCACGTGATCCACAAATCTGTTTTAAAATTTATGCAGAATGCTATAAGCTAAGGGGGAATTTTTTTTAACATATCCTGTAAAAAAAAAAAGGTAAATAAACTTCGCTGTAATCGCACTATCGCCTACTCTTACGTACTAAGACAGGCGGCAACCGACACGGCATTCGCTCGTGACAGAGGAGCCGTGCCCCGGCTTAGCGGCCAAAATCTCTCTGTAATACCCAAAAGGTACAAATTAATTTCTTGCACAAATCTGTAGGTTCTCAGGTAGTTTATTGACGTAAAATAAATCGACGCTGTTAGCATCCGTTTTTGGCTTCCTGCTTCATCTCATTCAAAGCCTTCTGCACGAGATGCTGGAGCTGTGGGGGTAGACCGTCATCTTGTCCTGGTACGCACGTCTGGCGAGAGACGGCATCTTCCACGTATGGGCCTATAAATGTTAGAATTACTGTCTTACCAATCCCTGAAACCCAATTTTATTAAGACAGGAAAAAAATTTAAATTCCAAAAACTTCTATGATTTGCATATGCCTGTTTTAATAGTCCTAGCAGTAAGGTTAGGTTAGGTTAGGTTAACTGTAGTCAATATTGTAACTTATATAACATTCATTGGCTTCGGATTAACGATATGTTTCGCCGACTTTCAGATCCAGCACCTTTACTATTTATGATAATGATAACAGCTTCTGAAAGAACTTTCAAAGGTAAACTGGAATCATTGAAACCACAGAGGCATTGTGACTTTGCTATGATGACGCAAAATTCGACGCGTCCATACTTGACACGCTGATGAGGCAGGCATGTCACATCTCCCACCTCACACACTGTCAAGACACCCAACATACAAGACCACGTCCCAGAATACCGCCACTGACATCTTCATTGCTGTGAGGTCTTATGACTATTTCTTCTGATGCACTTACCCCTGACTGTATGTCTGCCCGACAGATGCTGCCATGATTCGCGCCCTGCAGTAACTGTATGGTCCTTCACTGACGGTCTGGACACGGACGGCGCTTTCGACACTTCAACTCTGTCAGTTGACGTGACATCACTTTGACTGCCGCCTGGATTTATCTCTGTTGCCGCAGGAGCACCCTCTGGGTCTGAAATTACACACAATACAATAATTTAATTCAACACAAAACCACCATCTTGCAAGCCACGATGGCCACAGAAAGTGATTAACAAAACAATAAACTAAATATCTCTAGGGGGCAGAGTCCCTGCTAAGCTTATTTATTTATTTAATACAGTGTAAAATGATAGGATAGTTAATGAACAATTAATTGGAAAGGATGTGGAAGGAAGCAGTTGCGGCCTAATTTAAGGTACAATCCATACATCTGCCTGCAGGGACTGAGGAAAACCACAAAAAAGCTGTCAGAATACCTAGTCTTCAGGCTAAGATTTGAACCAGGGACCTCCGAAATATGAATAAATTAATAGCTCTCAGCCAGTAAAGAAATGTTCTACCCTATTTGGAACCTGACTGTCTTTATGACTCCATGTGGTTGCATTTCAGAATTCCCAACAAAATTCCATATCATTACAGACTTAAAACACCATCTGTGCCACAAAGTGCCGACTCACGCCGAGTGTTAAGATGTATGCTGGTGATGCACTCTCCCTCCGAATCCGATCCATCGAGACGCTCCGCGGACACGATGTGACCGACTTCCCGGTCCACTTCAGAGCTGGCATAGCCTTCCAGAAGCAACTGTGACGGGAAAGCTGCCACTCGCCCACTTTGTGCCGCCAGTTCTAAGTCAGAGATGCGACTCGCCAGTATCCTACGGACCAACTCAGTTTTAGGACATGACTAAATTTGTAACTAGAATAGTTGTGGGAATTAAAACTAGTACAGTGCACTAACCACTAAACCACTGTGGTGTTCCTATAATGCTTCTTCTTATAAGTCTACTTATGGTACATATGCAGCATCTTTCTAGGGTCACACGGAGTGGAGCTCACATCCGGGCTTTGTTGGAAAATGTTTTTATTTCTGCAGACACCAACAAAGAATCTAAGTAATATCTTAATTGCGACAAAAACAGTTCTAAGCACACCCGTCTCCTCATTTCGTTCTAAGTTCATTCTCCTGAACCAACTCTGAAAGCAAATGCCACCGTTCTATTTATCATTTTACAGTACTGCGGCGGCAATGGGCGGGCTCGTGCCCGGACCCTTCCGCGCACACCGTCGCGCCCTCCTACTCCCCGGGGCTTCAGCGTAACGGCCTTGCCTTCCGGCGGCCGGGTATAGGCACGGAGCTTTAGCGCCATCCATTTTCAGGGCTTGAAAATTTATTATCTTGAAGGCAAACCTTCATTTTTGGAAACAAGATAAGAAACATGAAGCCAGGTATCAACTGTAGACTAAGTGATTTAATATTAATTTGAGTACTCTGCAGTAATGTGAATGTGGCGTATCCTGCAGTGAAGAATTGCCGACATGTAGCAAAAGGAGTTTTCTAGGCCACATTCCTTCTTTATTTCAAATTAAATAAAGAGTTTGGTTCAGTAACTGGCATGAAATGCCTCTCACCTGTTTGCTTTCTTCTGATGAGCTAGTGCAAGAACCTTATCTCCGAGAGCCTCCAGTAAAGCAAGACATAGTGATTTCAAGTCTGACAGGGTGGCAGCAGTATTGGGCAACTGTGCTGATGTGCCTCGTTCAAGCAGCTGCTGCACTACAAATTAACAGACTTCTTTAAAATCAAATAACCAAAGTATAAGAACAGAAGAGTACCTGAAGATATTTTCCACCATTATCAAACACTCAGATTCTTAATTTAGAAACTAAACTTTCTATTATGACGGATACTCTGAATCCAAAGGCAATATGGTAAAATACACATCCTGAAATAACAGCATCAGTGATTTATGTTTTACGCTCTGCAGTAAACAGCCACAAACATTATCTAAAATGCTGTATCACATTCACGTCAGTGATGATGTAGATCAGTGGTCCCCAACGCGGTGCCCTGCGGGCGCCATGGCGCCCGCCAAGGCTTTTTTTTGGGTGCCCGTGTTGTTACGGAAAGAGGTTATACTGAATAATGAAGGCCGTTCAACCACGAACCTCATAAAATCAAAGCGCAGATCTCGACTTAACGACGCCCATCTTGACGATTGTTTGCGAGCAGCAACATCATCCTACACTCCCAAATTTGAAAAACTGGCCGATGAAATGCAGCGCCAAACATCACACTAACTTCCCACTTGAGTAATAATAATTGTATTTTTAATTGCGTGGTTTCTTGTATCATTAAACGTCGTGTTGTTTGGTGTCCATATCTTATTTGTCCGGAGAAAAGAAAATTTGGCTTTGTGCCCGCCACGATCTCATAAACTCTCAAATGTGCCTGTAGGCACAAAAATGTTGGGGACCACTGGGATAGATGGTGGTCTTCCAGGCTATGACACCATGTGAAACAAAGTTCTTCACAAATGTTGGTATCCACTTACAAGTCCACATTGTGTCACAACCCACACGACCACTGCCGACACAAAATGCCCAAATCCACGCGGTAATATTTTGTAGGATAACGTTGTGCTACAGAGGACTTGAGTATGATCCACTAAATGACACTGGACGGCATATATTATCTAATGCCAAATTAACAACAAGATCGTGAGGTTCTAACATCATATAACTACGGTCTGTACTTGATTCAACGAGTATTACTTTATATTTCAATTCAAATATTAAGGTTTTTTTACAAATATTTAACCGCTTACGTACACCGGTCATGTAAAAGGAATTGCAAACTGTTCAATTGAGGTTAAATGACGGTTCGTATTGGCGACCGATATAACACTTCATCATAATGTCCTCAACCAGTGAATAATTCCTCATGTGTACAAATGAAGCTTTACTGTGAACTTGAACTCGATTAGTCACGCAAGATTTCACACATTCCTACCCACAAAGAACTTCACAACTCACCCTGTTTGTGAGACATGACCATGCCAGTGTTGTTAGTGCCAAGCTTAACGGTGCCCTTGCTGCGCTTCTTGTCTAGCATGCTCTGTTAGTACACACAAACATACGGCCACTTACTACGTGTTAGTCGTTAGAACACAGACTGCTGGGACGTAAGAGGGAGGAAGTAACAGGAAGATTGAGAAAACTGCATAATGAGTTTATAACTTTCTCTCTTCACCTGTGATGAATCACGACAATAAGAAATCTGAGTATCATAAAAGATGTCAAATTCATTGACTAACTGAATGATAGTTTCCCAAAAAGGGCCTTGTCTCATGAAATTAATCCATAACATTAAAAATACACAATAATCTGTGGATACGAAACAATATTGGAATATACTGATACCAAAATGGCCCAGAAATTTAAAGGTAGGCCAACCTTGAATTGCAAAGCTGGAGATCAAGGTACGGGAAATTTTTATATATCACAGGGCACTTAAAAAGTAAAGCTATCCCACTACACGCCATGTAGGCGCTTGGGGGGAGTGGCGGTATAGCTCCTACTCTTTCTTGACCTCGGTACCAGGTTGGGGTGAGTGGTCAGCATCATGCCCCGGCCGTGCTTTACCCCCGGAAAGGACCCCGGTACCCATTGGATAGGAGGCTGGGTGGGCCCCATAGCCGGTCTGGACGCAGAGGCTAGAGGAAAGATCCTCTGCCCCCGTCGGGGGTCAAACCCCGGTCGTCCAGTCTGCAGCCAGTCACTATACCGACTGAGCTATCCCGGCTCACATCACAGGGCACTTGGTGACTTAAGAATTGGCAGATGGGATGTGATCTACATGAGGAAGTACGCAATACTTGCCTGGTGGGAATGAGAGCAAGAACAAAAATGAGACAGGGCACTGTCATATTGTTCTCAAACATGAAATATGTCAACAGCATCAAGTATGCAGCATTTACAAAACACAAGTAAATAATTCGGATCTCACAACTGGTTAACGTAAACAGGAAATGAAGCAGTGAAACAGATTCTAATACCAGCAACGTAGATTCGTATATGGAATAATTATCTGAAATTTGAGGCCCAGAAACCTTTATTATAATTATTATTATTATCACTCAAGTATCTTTAGAAAATCAGCTTCACAACATAACAACTTTACTCCAAACAGACAGAGAGCTCCCAACACCCACTCGTTAGAAGGCCACAGGGGCCCAGAGCATTTCTGCACGCGGTTGTAAAGTCCCTGCACATCAAACTCAAAAGTTACATAAGCCAAAGCTGAAGAAGAACGTGAGGAGAATCGCGTGATTTCACTACCAGAGAAAAATGTTTCAAGCAAAAGCTGAGAACTCAATTGAGATAAATGATCTGCCTCATATGAGATATTTTGAAAAAAAAAAAAAAAAAAGAAATATTACAAAAACACACGTGTATCACTTTCATGTGTGACCCACCACTCAAAACTGATCACTATATTACCTTATACTTAGAGAGAGCTTGGTTTGACATGTCTTTCTCTTCCTCTGCTTGCTGAAGTCTCTCCTTCAAATACCTGCAACATGACAAAAACAAAATTCATGTAACTGTTCTTACTTCCATAATTTCTTAACCTTCGGTGTTTCTTTACAAAATGGACTGGGTGGTCATTTAGGACTTTTCCTTGAGACACTGCCTTTACGTGGCGGAGAGATTGCGTGCCCTGTTTGAAGCGGAGAGCTATGCCGGCGGTATCTTAGCTACTGATAGGTCCAACCGTGCCGGACAGGTCAACGCTTAGGGCCCAGACGAAAGGTGTCTCAAACAGCTCCATCGGTTCTGATTGGGCGTGTGGCCGACAGCCCACCCCGTAAAAATCAATTGTTGAGAAATCTCGAGGAGGCTAAGGCCCGATGTGGGCTGTAGAGCCATTGGATGGATGGATGGTCATTTAGGGTGACTTTATATGCTAACCAGAATGACTCTCATCTTGAAGGTTATGGCGATGACCATAAGTAAAATGTCATAAAACACGCTTGACATGTACCATGAGTTTTAACACATCACTGAGGAATGTGATATGTAATTCTTCATTCCCGTGTAAGCTACATGTTCAGCCCATCTAAACCTCTTTAATTTAACAACCCCATCAATTGTCACATGAACACTACAAACAACACACACCCTTCAATTTACGTGCTACTTCTCCTCTCTCATCTCCAACTATCCTCCTCAGACGTTTTTCAGCTACGCACATGAAAATCTTATTTCTCTTCACTTTTACATAAAACTACTGGAATTCAAGGGGAGAATGCGGAAAGGCTGATTTACCAAAACTGGAGGCATTCGCTGCCAGCAGCACAATGTTCTATTCATTTATCCCTAAATATCTCCTTATTTGTTGTTGTCAATTACCTAAATTTGGTTAAATTTTTGAAGGAATTTATCTTATTATTCTATATAAAACTACAAAGATTTTCTTACTATCTCCTATAACAGCATTTGTTGACTTTCTAACAAATTATAAGCAACGTCTGTTTAAATTTCACATCAAGAGGAAGGAGAAAAAACATAACGTGCCCACACCCCACTCTCTTCCTTGCATTCTGCAGTCTTACTGCTACCAACATGACAGTACCTGTTCTCCATGACCAGTGAATCAACGTCAACCAGTTTCTTACTGTCTCCCTTCAACAAAGCGTTTAGTTCGTGGTTCAGACGATGAACTTTACACTTGTACGCATCCCGTTCTGTGACCAGCTCCTCCTTCTCATCCAGCACTGCCTGTAGGTCAGTCCTCATCTGCGTGCACTGTAACACAACACAATTTGACACCTGGCAAATGAAGACTGCGCTGTGCGTGCACACTTGCCGATTTGTGTCACTTCATCGCCGTCAGGTACCGCATGTGTAACAATATTAAATTCTGATTCAAATTTGAGACTCAGTA